GGACTAAAGTATCTGAGAAACAAGGAGTAATCCGCTCGAAAGGAAGTAGAGTCTAGAGTATTTGCACACCGCCCGAAAGGGACGTAGAGTGTTTGAACAAACAAACCCGAAAGGGACTAGAGTATTTGAGAAGCAGTGAGCAGCAATACCTCCGAAAGGAGCCAGAGTATTTGAGAAACAAGGAGCAAACCGCTCGAAAGGAATTAGAGTATTCAAGAAACAGGGAGCAAACCGCTCGAAAGGGACCAGAATGCCTGAGAAACACGGAGCAAACTCACAAAAGGGACTGGAGTATCTGAGACACATGGAGCGCTCGCAAAAGACAAAAGTGTTTCAGAAGCAAGGAGCAAGCCGTTTGGAGAACTCGAAAGGGATTGAATATTTGATGAACAATAAAACTAACTTGCAGTATTTGCCACAGGGAGCCAACCGCTCGAAAGGGACTTTCAGTGTTTGAGAAACAGGAAGCGAACCGCTCGAAAGGGACTAGAGTGTTTGAGAAACAAGGAGAACCAAAAGGGAGACCGCCCGGAACAGTGTTTGTGAGACAGGGAGCAAGCTTCTCGAAAGGGATCAGAATGTTTGAGAAAAAGAGAGCGAACCGCTCCCGAAGCACTAAAGTATTTGAGAAACAGAAAGCAAACCGCTCGAAAGGGACTAAAGCATCTGAGAAATAAGGAGCAAATCGCACGATGGAGCAAACCGCTCAAAAGACAAACATGTTTGAGAAACAAGGGGCAAACCGCTCGACAAGAACTGTGGTATTGGAGGAGAAGAGAGCAAACCGCTCGAAAGGCACTAGAGTGGCTCATAGAGTGTCTCAGAAACAGGGTCAAACCGCTCGAGTGTTTAGAGTTTTTGAGAAACAGGGAGCAAGCCAGGGGACGAGACTATTTGAGACGCAACAAGGAGACCGGTCGAAAAGGGAGTAGAGGATTTGAGAAAGAGGGAGCAAACCGCTCCACAAACAACAGTGCATTTGAGGAACACGGAGCAAGCCGCTCGAAAAGGAGTCGAGTCGCATGGTAATTAGCGAGCTGCGGAGTGAGAGGAACTGTTGAGCAGGAGAAATGGAAAGATAGGTCATGGCAACTGAAGCGGCATGTTGGATTGTACAAACCCTTGCGAAGCGAAAGAGGGATGATGTCGAAGGATCGCTGATGTGAAGCCTTTGACGCGCAGCAGACTGGAGCACAGAACGACCAATTGTTGGTGTTCTCCTCACGACAATTGGCGTGCGTGCTGGCGCAAATCACTGATGGTGTCGCTTGGGCGATGAATCGAAATGAGGACACAGAATGGCTTTGAGACTAGTGGAAGATAGCACAGACAGTTTGCAGTGCCGCAACGATCCACGAGTCTATTGAGTGAGATCCTTCTCGTTCTATTCAACATTGAGAGTGGAATCAGGGTTGGAATCGGGAACAAGAATGGTACGCTGATTGGTGTTCATGGAGGTAATCGTGATTGGAGTCATCATGAGTGGATAGGTTTGCTTGATGATGGGTCCGGTGACGGGTCTTGGTTCCAAAACCATTGGAGTTATTGGAACGAAGACGGTTCTGGAATTCACAAGCCTGGTGGAGCGCGGAGCAGCCAAGCTCCAATATGGCGTCTAGCTCCCAAGCGAATGCTTCGCAGGAAGCCACCAAGAGTGACCCGTCGCAGAATGCTGCAGCTGTGACTGTCGAGGCGCTGGATCAGAACGCGTCCCGATCGAGCGTCCGAGGTGCGGAACTTGGGACAATGCCGAATCTGGTCCATGGAGCATGGTGCCGGAGTGCCCCCGGCTCCTCCGAAAAAATTGCCAGAGATTGGTCTAGAGTCTGAAGTTTGAGGACAGCTTGATTGTGTTTTACGGGCAAGCTTGCTTGGTCGATAAGTGGTGGCTACTGTTCGACAGTGGAGCTTGTGCAAACTGTTGACCTGAATGGTTTGCACCGGAATATCCTGCTCTCTGCGGAGTTTGTCTGGAAAGACATTGGATGCGCAAAACAGGAAGATTGTGTAGCCTGACTGTAACAGTTATCATTCCTTGAGTGCACAGTTCTGCGTGTGCACTGGGATGCCGTTTCCACTGATCAGTGTTGCTGCTTGTTGCAGGCATGTTGGACCTTAGATGCCCAAGACTATCTTGCTTTGGTTGACTCGACTGGAAACACTCTTCCGATTGTGCGACAGGGTACATTGGTGTACCTGACACCGACTGTTATTCTGCATCTCGTTTTAGATGCGGCGAGTTGTGTGACTGATGTGTTGTCGAGAACGGAGCACCAGCTTGGTGCATTGGGGCTTGATGCACGTGTCGGATTTGCATGACAGCTCGTTCGATTATCTTCAGCAAATTGGTGCCTTCATTGCTGCGGCACAAGGGATACGGAAGGATCATGTCTACACGTATGACGCCTGGGAAGTGAGTGAGCCACGGTTGACCCAGTGACTCGAAAGAATGGAAAGGCCGAGAAGAGTTTAAATTGCGCCACAAGCCGCAATTGAGGCATGTCCAAAAGAGTGAGCCCAGACATTGCAATTCGCAAATTGGCAAGCCGTGCGTGCCAATCTGCCCGGAGGCAACAAAAAAAACAAAGCCAACTGGTTGACCTTCCCTTCGCCAACCTTTTATGTCCGAAACCATGAACTTTTCTGGCACTACCCCTGCTGTTTGGGGTCTTCGCCGGTCTAATATGCCTTTAGTCCTTGTTGCGTCGTTCGACGAGCCGTCATCTCGCTAAAGCATCGTCCGTGCGAGAATCACAACAATAGCTCGCATGTACATGTCGATGGGAGTGAGAGGAAGCATCTTCCTGTTCCCGCTGGCTCAGACCCAGCGCGGCACCAAAACACAGGTGTACTAGCAATGCTTGGCAGCGCTCGTGAGAGCTTGAATTAATCATTGACAGCTGCACAACAATGGTTAGATCGAGGCTTCTTCATCATGCCGTGTTCAAGCGGTGGTTTGTGGGATGGAGGTGATTTCGTTCAATCCAAGCTGCAGCTTCGGTTGATGTCACATCCTAAGAAGCTTCGGGAATTATGTGCTTGGAACTGCTTGTTGGTGAAGGGTGTATGAAGGTGTATCTTGGTGCCTGACAGTCTGTCCATGACCGACAGACTCGGATGGTAATTAAACTCTCGTTGTACTTGTCGAAATACTTGCTACTCCCCCTCACTTAGCGATTTGGCAAGCCAGGAAGTACTGCCTTGTTCGAACGTCCGAGTGTTTAGCGTTGCCGCAAGCCAGATGGAACTAGGTCACAAGAACCACGTGCCACAAGCGTTTGGAAAGTTCTGAATCGTGAAAGGCTTCTATAATCTGCGGGAATCATGTGGAAGCAGGTCGCTAGATGATACTAATAAGGTATTCAGGCATGCTTTCCGGCGAATGGCTGAACCCAGTCAGGGAGTTAGGAAACAAATCCGATCGCAACCGAGTCGGTAGCTTGCGGCCTTTGCCCTACCCCCGGCTCCGAGGCCAAAACTGGGAAGACGAACGCAGACGGCCGAGACACTGCATTCTGCATCTAGGTGACATTATATCATAATCCGCTACCTGACCAAAGGAAGTTGCCGCAAGTTATTCGTGGTCTCGCAACGGTTGTGGAGTTTGGGAATATTTGTGCCATTTAGCTTGGGTTGTGTCGGGGTGGCTCCTGTATTATCCAGATGTGGAAAGCCCCCTTGTGCAAGCGGCTCGCTTGCTATCGGCAAACGACATCAGGGATGCGTCGAACGGTCTAGTCCATCCGGGAGCCTTGCAAGCGAACTTGATTTGTCAGGTGCGAGCGAAAGCTGGCCTGAAGAAAATCAGGCCTGAGAAGTGGAGTACTTCTGACGACTACCGCTATAATTATGCCCGGCAACGACGATGCAATGACGCAGACGACGGCGAATTAACACCCGAGGGAACCTAAACAATAGACAGTCAGCATGGATTACTATGGAATTATCAACACGCGGCAGCAGCAGCGGCGGCAAAAAAACAATTGAAGAGCATCCTGGTCGCGATGACATGCACTGGAGTGCACACCCGCAGAAGGACTTGTAGTATGTTGGTGCTGTCAAAGTGTGGGCGTATCATAAATTACACAGATGTTCGACACAACGCGATGTACTGATACAGGCCCAATTTAGGACAGCTGGCTGGAAGTTTCTGCAAGGGGCCAGTGGGGCGACTCTTTTGTGTTGAAATTCTCTGGGAGTGCTTGCGACGTTGGTGCCAATGGAAGAGCCGCGAAGATGCGAAACGGAAGGGTCCGACGGGGTTCCAGGTGGAAGAATGACAAGGACTGGGCAGCATGCACTTTCGAAACACCGACCCTGTCATACAAGAAATCCCATACTCGAAGCATTCAGCTGCGTTGGTGAGCGGCCAGGCCGAAACAGTGGAAATGCAAGAGTGGCACAGCAACACCAAATTCAGCTTAGCTGGTCAGAGATATCAGCAAACGAGAGTCCACAGTGCACAGAAGGGAGTGGCGCAAGAGTCAGCGTTGGCACGATCCATGATGGGGCTTCATTCCGAGCCATGACCTGAACTACTAGTTCTGGCGCCATTCCCAAGACCTTGTTTGCCGAATAGCTACGAATCCCGTGAGGTGATAGTGGGTGACTGACTTACTAACTAGCAGGCCTGTCCTGGATAGTCTGATGGTGAGCCCAAGAAGTACAAAGTCGAGAACGGCATGCACCAGGGGGAGGGATGTTATGTTGCCCAACTGAACGATCTTCGCGCATTTAGGGTCTGGCCTCATCTGAGGGTGCTCTGCAGGTCAAGCATCCATCCTAAGCCCGAGAAGGTGAAGAAGGTGAAGCGTTTGAGAAAGGTGCGAGGTGAGGAGCCAGTTCTTCTCGCAGTGCCTGTGTTGGAAACCGTGACATCCGAGTATTTCTCGGTTTTCCGATTTGCAAAGCTCCTTCGCTCTGCTTCTCCGCAGATGCATTTCATGGGCCCAAGTGTAAATAATTTCACCTCCAGATAGTCAGCCAATACCAGCTGCCCGATGCGTCCAACTTTCGCTTGGGTGGTCATCCATGGTTGGCTTTGGCAGTGCGATGGCACTGGGTCAGGAAGCGGGCCCGCTGAAACACGACTTGACCAGGTGGGACTGCACAGATACAGAATGCAAATACCTGTATCAGAATGCGTGTCTGCATGTATGTATGCATGCATGCATGCATGCATGCATGTATGCATGTATGCAGGTGCATGTACTACTGTGCATTTGTACGTACGTGTTTGCCTGATTGTCCGGGAGCGCCAAGAACATGAACATCTGTGCGTCCATGAGCAACTGCTGAAACAGCACGCATATCCCTTTCAGGTAGCAAGCTTTGTCGAGCCAGATGCCTGTGCTGCATCGGCCTGCTGCAGCTCCTTCGTGCAAAAGGCTGAGGCTGAGGCAGGGGCTCCCTGGAGTGTTGTCTCAACACTCGTCCTGCTAAGAGGAGCACACGTCTCCTCAAACTGCACACGTCTTCGCTGTGTGAACAAGTACAGTATAGGGGGTGTACTCAGAATATTGAGAAGCGAGGACCCAACACGGCAAAGGGATGAACAATGATGAACAATTGACCCTCTGCTTTCCTTAAAGCCTTGCAAGCTTGATATCAAGAACCTCACGCCGTCAGAAGGAGGTGCATACGGACAGTTCATGGGACTGATGCGAGGGCCCACTCGAAAACGTTTGGTGGGTCACCTCGAGACGGTTCCGGGTCCTGTGAATCTCCAAGGAAAGGTAAGCGCTTGTTCTGCAAAAAATCGGTTTTTCCGCACAACCACAATTGCTGCATTGCCAAGGGTTCGAAAGAACTAAATCCCCCAGCGTTGAAGTTAGCAAAGCAAAACTCCACCGTTTTGCTTCCTGGCCCCAGCAGGAACACAAGACGCTTTCAACGAGCGGGACCTGGTACTTCTTGCACGGTGGCTCCGAAGAGTCAGTGACAGCAATCGTGCCAGCAGAAACGGTCCTGGCCTCCACACCAGCAGTTGTGCATGGGTGGTGCATGAAATGGAAGGAAACAGCAAGTGGCACAAAGCCATATTTGGACCAGGCGAGCTCGGAAAGGACTTGTGCCCGCGGAACAGCATACATGCTGAGCGAACCAGGTGCACGGCTCTATGAGACGTTTTGGACGGGACCTGCACAACCGCTGGCAGATCCACAGAGTCTGAGCTTCACAGCTCCATCCGGCCAGATTCTGAAGGCGACAGTGCTGGTGCCAAAGCTTCCGCTGACAGAGGAGGCCCCACAGTACTTCTCTGCTATTTGGTTTGAGGCTTGCGAGACGGAGGAAGAGTTTACTACAATGAGCAGCTAGGCTACACAGGACGTTTGACGTTGTAGCAATTGAAGGCTGGAAGCTGAAACCTGCCTCCAGACCTGACTTTGTGGTTAGAGTATCCCTGCCAACCTTGCACATACTGCATGTACACGAGAATTTGACAACGATTGCCACAATCATAGCTATCATGTGCAGGAGACTGGTTAAATCAACCGGCCGAGCGCAAAAGAAACAGCGTGGATTTGTCTCCTTCCTGGTTGCCTCAATGAACCTGAGACGGAGACTAATGGAGGACTGCAGGGTTGAGCCGCATGTGCAGGCAAAGGCATAACGTCAAAAGAGTCTCGCGGAAGGAAGGTGGCTTGGGGATGCATCCTCGAACACTTCATTGCCAGCAGAAGACTTCACCTCTCGGCAATGTCAGGTTGTAAAGAAAAGACTGCTGAAGTTGAAGCAGACCGCCACCGCCTCTGTGTTGAGATGCAAAGTAGACGACTAGGGTCACCTGCCACAGATGAGGCACGAGTCGTGTGCCCGGGAAGCTTGACCGAGCGGTTCATCGCTTGCTGCTGGATTGCACATGGCAGCACATCGCATTTCCCGTTACACCGGGAGAGCTAGAACATGCAGTATGCACCGGTGCCATGAGGTGGCCGGGCTTCAGCGTACAGTGCGCTGAGCTTGCCCGAGGTTTGAAATGCGCAGGTTGTGTTCCGACTGTACTTCCTCCTAAATTGGTTAAGGACCGCGTTTGAGCGGCGTTTGCTTTCAACCGGGCAGCTCAGCCGGAGCCTAAACACCAAGAGCAAGTCACCGGAGGAATTTGTGTCGGCTCGAATTCGAATGTTGGCTTCGATTGTCACTGTTACAACCACGAGCACCACTGGACCACCAGCACCACACAAAGACGCCTACTATTTGCTAGCAGCAACAACGACGACTACTACTGCTGGTACTGCCGCCGCCGCCACCACCACCACCACCACCACCACGATACTACACCACCAGCAAAACGCCAACGACAACTCTACTGCGACTGCTCCTGCTACTGCCCTGCCGCTGCTGCTGCTGCCGCTGCTGCTGCTGCTGCAACTCCTATTGCTATTGCTATTGCTGCGACTACAACAACAACTACAACTACTACGACGACGGCGACGACGACGACGACGACGATTACTACTACTACGACAGACCCTGCATCGTAGGTTCGTCCTAGCCAGGCGGGAGGCAAAAACTACTCCTCTACTACTACTACTACTACTACTACTACTACGACGACGACGACGACGACGACGAAGACTACGACTACGACTACGACGACTACGAGTAGCAGTAGTAGTAGTAGTAGTAGTAGTTGTTGTTGT